GAGATTTTGGGGAGAAGCATGGTGAGTGTGTGTTGTGACACCCATGGGCTGGTGTTGGGTCTGGGCAGGGTGGTGGAGAACGTGTGGGACAGCCGGGGGCTGCTATGCCCCTGCACACCCCATCTCCGGTAGCTCCTATGGGGCAGACCCAGTTGCAGACATGGGGATCTCGTTTCTGTGTGACTGGAAGCAGGAAATTGCTGCAGCTGATGCTGGGCAAATTTCAATTAAAAGGTTTTTAATGACAGAGGAGGAGAGAGCAGCTGGAGGCAGGTGAGTACTGGAAGTGCTGGTTATTGCAGACACTGAACCGGTTCTGCTGCCCTCGTGTACCTGGAGTTACAGGGCCCAGCTGCTGCAGGGGACCGGATCAGTGGCTCAGTCCTTTGAGCTTCTGGCAGCGGTGCTGCTCCCCAGGGATTTCCCCCTGCTCCTCTCCCTTGGGTGATAGCCCGGGGGATGGCAGGGGGTTGGGACAGACAAGAGGGTCCAAAGTGGCCTGAGAAGCAGCAGTGAGGGTGGTGGTGGGCAGCCCTGGCTGCTGCTGGCTGGTAGCAGCCTGTTGGGCTGGAAATGCAGCATCAGAGACCTGGCTGCTAAATATAGACCGCGGATGAGATTAAAGAAGGCAGAGCCCCTGCCCACTCCTGCTTGCTCACCTCCTCTTGCTTCAAAGCCTTGAGCTTTGAAGAGGAAAACCTCTCCTTCCTCCACCTGTCTGGACTGTGCTGGAGCAGGCGGCCCCTCTTACAGTGGAGAGTTTGACCTGGAAGCAAAGGGGGACCTTTTTGGGCTTGGTGAACTCAAAGGTAGGCAGCAAGGAGGGTGCAAGGGGGCTGTGCATGCATGTGGCACTTCTGGGATGCTGGGGCAGCTCTGGGGTCCAGCTGGGGTCTGTCAGCCACACTTGTTGGAGTCTTCTCCTTGGCTGCAACTTTTTGGAAAAGAATGGAGAGTGCATATGCTGGGAGCCAGGTTTTGGGTGTTTTGGGGCTTCTCTCCCAAAAATATATATGTTGATTGCCTTCTGCTCGCATCGCTTCGTGAAAGCGTTGAGACATTTTGGCCCCAGAGACTTCTCAAAGCCCTGGGACCTGTCAGAGGGGAAACTGAGGCACAGGGTAGTTGTGCGTCCTGAGCAGCTGCAAAGCCCAGATAGTGCCCAAGTACCATGTCCTGCTCCTGCTGTTGGCTGCCCCCAGGAGCAGTGAGAGCTGGGGACTGTGTCACTCCTTGGTGCTGGTCCCCTCCTGGGAAAGAGCTGAGCCAGCACTGGCCTCAGGGAGCTGATGTGTGCTTTTCCTTCCCCTCTGGGAGGATGGTTCAGCATCTGCCAGCTCTCTTTGCGGCAAAGTCTATCTTGTTGGGTCACTTGAGGAGATAGGTGCTGGATCAGGTGGGGAATGGGGTATGGCCCTGGGGGACACTACAGCAAAAGTGTGTGCACAGAGTTTAGTGCTCAGTTTTTCCTGTGATAACATGGAATCTTACCACCAAAATGCATATTTTTCTTTTAGAAAACCTCATTTTCCTCAAAATGTGCTTCCAGCCCTCTGAGAAACTTTACTTCTGGTTGGAAAATAATTTTTTTTTTCCACTAGATTTTAGGGTATACTGAACTGCTCTTTTTGCACAGGTGTGCTGGACTGTTGCCCTTTCCTTGCTGTCAATTGAGACAGTAGGTGCTAAGCTCATGGTTTGCTCCCAGGACACGTAGGAGTTTTCTCCTTTCTCACCCTGCCAGGCAGGAGTTCCCATCTGCAGTGGCCCTGTGCCCTTTCCCCCACCAGCTGGGCTTCATGGGACACCCTGTTCTCTGGGACAATTCTGATAGTGTCTGTCTTATGGGTTGTTTCTTCCTGTATTTTAGCTGTCTTACAGCACGTGTGTTGTCCCTGTGCAGTTTCGAATAGCTGCTTGCTACCGCTTTCACTCTGCTTTCTTTTCCTCTGCGTGAAACACCAGGGTGTTCAAGCAATTTGAGGAAATCAAAAAAGATGTGGCCGTTTTGGGGACTGGACCCGAACCGAGTTCGCTGTGATCTGCTCTTCACAGAAGCCATCAATCAAAGGATGCAGGTTCCCAACAGGCTGAAGGTAGCAGATAGCTTCAGCCCTGTGGACGAGGAGCCAGTATCAGAGGATGTCCCTCCTTCCTTTCGGATGCACATCCCTGATAGGATTTCTCTTGCAGGTAATGTCCTGGATTGTCTTTTTGGGTGGCTGAAGGTTGGTGGGCTCTACAGCATCATAGCAGTAGGATCCCTTTGTGAAGTCCCCAGTGGTTTACTTTGTAGGAGGAGAGGACAGGAGTAGTCAGCTGTCAGCTTTTCTTTGGAAGGTAGGACAGGATGGTGGAGAGATGCTTGGGGAAAGGTGGGTAAAGATGACCAGTAGAAGGCAGGAGGAACATATCTCTTACAGATCCCTCTTGGCCTTTGGTAGGCTCCCTGCTTTGGGATGCAAAGACACATGGCCCTGTCTCATTGAAAAACAGCTCCCAAACCACACTTTTCCTGGAGCAGTGTGTGCGGTTGCTTTCCCATCCATGCCTCTCCAGGCTGTCCTGCTGCTCACCCCTGTGGGACTTGGTTTTTGATGTACATCTGGTAACACTAGACACAGGGTTGGCTCTTCTACGTGGGTGGATCTCTCTTCTCTCCTGTCCTGAGGGCATTCATGTTGGTTTAATTCTTCCCTCTGTCCTCTCTGTAGAAATATCAGATGCTAGTTTGAGGCCCATCCTGAACCAGCAAAGGAAGGTCCCCTCTGTCATGGTACACACATCTCCAGACAATGCTGCGCAGCCCACCCGCCTCAGCGAGCTCCCTTTTCTGCACGTAGCCAGCAGATCAAGCTCCCAGAAACGCAAGCGATCGGTACTGTATTGAGAGCGGAGGGGGTTGCCTGTGGTGGGAAGGGGAAGCAATCGCAGTGTTTGGTTTCTCCAGAGGTCTGTTATCAGTCAAAGCCAGAAGTCTTCTTCCAGAGTCCTACCTCCTCCTAGGAGTGCTAGGAGTGAGGGTGTGGGATCTCTTTCTGTCCCATAACCAGTACACACCTCTGTGCTGGGACATGGATTCAGGGAGATCTCCTACTGCATTTTGTGAGCAGGAGATAGGCTGAGGTAGGTGTGGTCCCTCCACAACCTCCTCCTGCTACTTTTGAAATCCCTTTTCAACCACTGTTTCTCTTGGATGAAGTAGGAGACTGAGTTGTTTCACCATTGCAGCATAAAGGGTTCTGTGTCAGAGCTGAAAGCAGATTTTAACCTTGTGTGAAACTAATGCAAAGAGAGGTCCCTGAGATGGGCAGGCAAAGGCTTGGTTTAGCTGCCTTCTCAAGTGCTTTCACCTCCGTGAGATTCAAGAGCTGTTCCTGGATTCGCTGGGTTCAGGATTTTTGATCTGAATGGAAACCAGATCAGCAGGCTCCTTGCTGGTGGCCCTCGTCCTGCTCCAAGCATGTCTCCCCACCCGCTCCAGCATTAGCTCACCAGGTTTGGGGCTCATGTAACACTCCCACCACTGAAGGTGGGCTTGCCCTGTGCAGGGTCTCTGTGCTAACACGGTTGTGTTTGATGCCAACAGGGCCATCACAGCAGCAGGTCGCGGCGGGAGAGGACTCCAAATGACTGTGCCCAGCTGGCCTTGCACAGCCTGGACCAGCACCAGCACCATGAGCGGTGAGCATGACCCCAGAGCCCTCTGGGGCGGGTGGGGATCAGCAGCTCCTGTCATCTGTGCTGCTTTGATGCTCTCTGGTGTCAATGTCCTGAGGTATCCAGACTGGGGCAAGGCAGTGTATGGCAAGTCCTCCTCTTGCACAAGAGGAGCATGGCTTCTGGCATCAGAGAGTTTTGTGCCAGGCAGCGTTGTAAGCAGCTGTGTTGGTCCCCAGAGCTCTCTGCCGAGGTGCCTGTGGGAGAGCACATCCCCTCTTGCAGCAGGCTGCGAGTGCTCTTGGTCCTTGCCTGGCCATTGGGCCAAGAGGACCTTGCTGCCTGTTCTGGCTTGTTCCAGTCTCTCTGGCTCTGCCCATCTTCCTCTCGGTGCTTTGCAGTGTGCTCTCCTGCTCCAGCACCGGCATGGCAGAGTGCTGATGGGCAGGTGACCACTGTCAAATGAGGCACCAGGGCTTCACTGGGTTTCTGCAAGGGTTGTTGAAACTTGTGGTGCCTTGCAGACAGGGTATGCTAAGAGTGCACTTGGTTTTCATCTCCTTGAGTGTAGCTTGTGAGTAGCATGGTAATAGTGATCCTCTGCTCATAGCCTTGGGCTCTGGAGTCTCTCCAGTGGAGAAATATTCTCTAACTTAATCCAGAGCAGAGCCACCTGTCCCTCTAGAAGTCCAAGGTTGTCCTGGATGCCAGGAGAGCTGCCTTCTGCAACCCCAGTGAGAGCAGCTGGTGGAGGTCTGGTTATCACACAGCCATAGTTGGCTTTGGAGGAGTCGGGTGACTGCCTCTGAGCCTGGGGGCTGCTGGAAGGGGTTCTCCCTCCTGCTGACATGGGGTTTCTGAGTATGGCAAGCTGATGGCATTGCCATACTTGGAGCTGCTGAAGGGATGAAGGGCACTGACAAATGCCAGGCTGTGCCCGTGCTGTACGAGGTTGGGAAGTAACAGACATGATTCTGTGTGCACCGCAGGCCAGATGCATGCTCCTTGCCCATGCACAGTGCCCCACTCCCCCTCCTCACGGAGACAGGCAGGATCTACTCCATGCAGAACGTCTTCCAGACCATGTACCTCCTGGGCCAGGTGCTATTCCATCGTGTCCGGGACTCTCTGCAAGATCCAGTGCCATCCAGGTGACTTTGGTTTGTCTTGAGCCACCTCTCTGTCACTCTGCAAAGACTGGTCTTTGCTGCGCTAAGGCATGAGCCAGGCACGAGCTCTGTAAACTGCAGGCTGCACAGCACAGGAGCAGGATGGTCCTGCACGGCTGCCCCAGGCTCTCCTCCTCTCCTGTCTTGTCCGGCAGCTCTGGGTGCCTGGTGCAGCCAGCCCGGGCGCACCCTGCTAACCCAGCCCAGCTTGGGTCTCCTGCTTAGCTTAACACTGGTCCCCTGGGCACCCTGAGCGATCAAATGCCACCTGTGACATTGCTGGGATTTCAGCTACTCTTCACTGCTGAGCAAGTGCTAATTTTTTTGCATGCCTTGATAGCTTGATGGAGAGAAATGTGTGAAGGGAATAAAAATCCAGAACAGGCAGCCTGACCCAGGTCCTGTGCCCAAGCCACCCTCTCCTGCAGGCTCCCAGTACCCTTGTTTGTATCTCGGTCACTCTTAATTAACCTTTTCCACAAAGTGGGTTACCCATCCCATAGCTGATGCCTCTGGCCAGGGTGCGGTGTGTCTGCATGCTCACTGGGGCAGGTCTGCAGTGACCTCAATCTCTCCAGATGTGCTGGAGCAGCTGTCTCCACCACACTCTTACCTGTGCAAATGCAGTAAATTTAACATGTTCAAAGACATCACTGCAACCTTAAGGTGTCCCCACTGCTCTAAGGCTGCTGAGCACCCAGAGGAATGTCTGAATACTTCTAATTCTCCTTGAGCAAAGCCTTCAGGCAGAAAGGAAGCAGAGTGAGCATCCATCATCGGTGCCATCAGTGGCACATCCTGCCTTCCCTCCCCAGCCGGGAGGTGCAGGCAGCAGAGCTGGCTTCTGCCTGCAGATTGTGCAAAGTGATGTCCCTGCTTTTAACCGCAGTAGGCTGACTGTCTTCAAATGTCACTTTTTTTTTTTTTTTAACAAAGTGTGGGCATGCCAACAGATCTGGTTAGTGGCTACGTAAGACATTCTCCGTCCTCCCATCAGCAGCAGAGGTGGTTTAGGCCACGGTACCATGAGAGGTGGTTGCTTGCAGAGCTGCTGTAATGCAGTGGGGTGAGTCTTGGGCATCTCCCCAGGTCTTGATCTCCCTTTGAAGCCAGTCACCTTGAAACACCTCTTCTTGGTACCTTGCATTACTTCAGATGCATATGGTATCTCTTCAGTAAAACAACTTTGTACCCCTATGCAACAATACAAATAAATAAAAATGACTGACCGGACTTGTTTTCCTGAAAAGACTGGTGTTGGACAAGGACTGGAATATTCGGCTGACAGTGACCTCTTGAAGGGTATGAGTCATCAGAAGGTAATTTCCAGTCTCTAAATGGTGTTCATTTGTATCCAACTGGGATTTTTCAGTCAAAAGTTGCAGGATGTGTCCCTTTTTAATGGCTCTGTGCTGGAGGAAATTGTGTTTTCTTTCTCTTTCTTTCATTTTACACCACAGCTACACTACGTGGAGGCATTATCTCACAAATGTATTTTCAGACAGATTCACTGAATCTCCAGGTGCTGTTCTGCCTTGTCTTCAGCAAAATCAACATCATATTGCAAACAGGAATAAATACCCTCCCCTCTCCAAGGTCTCTGAAGGAGCAGTGTTAGACACTCATTAACCCTTACAGCATCAGTGAGTACCCATGTGAGTTATTGGTATGCACAGGGGAGTTTTGATTATAGACCTGAGGTAGGGCTAGCCTATGATGATAGGAACAACAGACCGAATATGGCAGTTTTGTTTTTTCTCACTGTAGATCTACGTTATTTTGTGGCTCAGTGCTATGGACCCTGCAGCAAGGCTGTGTCTCCAGGGGCTGCCCTGGAGATCTGTGGTCTGTGTCGGCTCTGCCAGTGCAGCAGCTGATCACAGTAGTGGCCCCTTTGTTTCCAGGGATGGAAGAAGGTGGTGCATGCTTGGGTTGCTTGTTTATGTTTCAAGTTGCAGGTAAAATTTGCTACAAGAGCAAAAAGTGCTACTTTTTTTTTTTTGTCAGGGGGCCAGGGAAAGTGAGCTTGTGGTACCTGGAGGTATTGGAGAGGACCAATCCTTGTCTCAGCAAACACAGGACCCTTTTCTGCTGGCTGCTGCATTTGCTCAGCTAGTTGTCCCCAGCTGATGGCTGCTTCCTACCAGTAGGATCCTCACCTGCTGATATAAATGAGATCATCCCTCCATTTCAGCATTGGCCCTGTGATACATATTTATGTGACTGGCTCTAACGATGATTTATCCAACCCTCAATGAATTCCTCTGACTGTAGAGAATGGATGCTTGGTAAATACCATGTTTGCCCTCGGTTGGACCTCTAAAGAAATACAAGTATGTGTTTTCCCTGTTGTCTGTGGTGGCAGGTGCTGTATGTTTTGTTGTGACCACTATGGGGTGCATGGTGGAGGGATATAAATATGCATGATGGGGGTTAAGAAGGGTTGAGTAGATGCTGTGCAAGGGCTGTTTCCTCTCCTCTGATGCTGCATCCAGACAGCATGTCCTGGGTGTGCACACGCTACGTGCACAGCTTGGCTTCCTGTGCTTGGGAAGGCAGTTGCACCCCTTGAGCAGTGTTCTCTGCATCTCTGTTTTTCTTCCCCAGGTCCCAGGAGGTCGGCCCTGCCCCAGAGAGTGCCTTGGAGGAGGTTGGGGTGGCTGAGATGGCAGCAGTCAGAAAGCAGGTGAGATGGGGTGAAAGACTGCAGATGTTTGCCGGGAAAGCCCTAGGAGGGTGGATGAGGAGCCTCCAGGGGTCTGTTGCTCAGTCCTGATGGGCTGGCATTGCCAAGCTTGTCCTGGATGATGCTGCTAATGGAGAAGCAGGGGAGGACGTACATGTGTGTTGACCCATCAAGCTCCTACCCTGAGAGGCTGTAGAGCTACAGGAGACAGCCAGACCCCTCCATCTGCTGTCAGTAAAGGGCTCGGGTGCTCTTCTGATGGGCAGGGCCTTTTCCTGAAGCATCTGCTCAGGAGCTGAAGTACTGCTGCTAATTCTCCCACACAAAGCTAGCTGCTGCTCTAGAAAAGGAGGACCTGAAGGAGATGGCAGCTCCCATCCCTCCATCCCTCGCTGTCCCACACCTCTGGGGTGTGGCCGGTGTCCTGTACTTTGCTGCAGGACTGACAGTGGCCCCGCTGCTTGCCTTGCAGTTGACGAGGATCTCCGGGAGGCTCCGCGTGCTGGAGGAGCAGTGCAACGCCTGGCGGCAGAAGGAGGCCCTAGTCTACTCCGTGCTGATCTCCGCATGCCTCCTCAACACGTGGCTCTGGCTGAGGAGATGATTTCCCATGCCTCGGCCTCCCTAGCCCAACCCTGGCAGAGTGGGTGAGGGCAGGGAGAGGATCCTTGCTTGCATACTTGCAACCAGTAAAACTACATGTTTCTTCTTAACTTGACCTGCTTTTTCCACTGTGTGCCCTTGAGGATCTGTGTCCTTTAGGCCCCGATTACAGTGAAGGTGCTGTCCCTCTCCCATGCTCCAGCATTGGAGGTGGGTGAGGGAAATGATGAAGCTGGGCCTCCTGCCACAGCAGCTGGAGATGGTGTCAGGGAGAGGTGGGGTACAAGGACTATGGCTCAGCAGACATAGTCCCAGGGCTAGGCTGTGGCTGCAAATGCTCTGTGTACACTAGCATCCACCTTGTAAGTCTGACGGGGTCAGTGCTTGTGTGGGTAGCTGCTGTGAAGAGCCCAGGTCTCGTAAGAAATTGGTGGCTGATACAGGAGGTGTCTGTCCTGCACAAAGCAATGGGAGACCCTCTGGTCCTTGGGCTGTCTGCCAGAGGAGATGCAAAGCAAAGACATTGGATGTTTGTGGACATGGGGTCCTGTTACAGCCTTAGACTGTAGTGGGCCCAGTCCCCTGACCACATCCCAGCTTGGACAACTCAGTTCTGACCCCGTAAAAGCCCTCAGCCAACTGCTGCGGTCTGCTCCTCATCTTCCACCCCAAAAGCTTGTCTAGAGAGGTTGGGTGTTTTTAAATTGCTGGTGGGTTTTCTTTTCTTCATTGCACAAATGCTGTTTGTGGAGGTAGTACTGCCAGTTCTCCTGTGCCAGAATCCTCTAGGAAGTGCAGCCTGAGGAGCTGGGAGCTCGCATCCCTGTAGCTGCTGCTGTGCCACTATCTCCTCGGCTCCCATCCTGCTCGAGGCAGTTCAGCAGCGGGTTCGCAAATGTTCAGATCTAAAGTGATTGTAAGAGCACTGCTGAGGTCTGGGTTTATCCAGGAGCTTGGCTCTGTCCCAGAGAGATTTACATGGGAAACCTCCCTGTCATGACTCTCTGGATTATAAGACCTCGTACCAACAGTGACAGCACTAGACAGGTCATGGAAAATTGCCCATTTGGGCAGCAGTAGATATCTGTTAGATATTGTCAGTGCCAGAGGGCTGCTGCCAAGCTCTAACTTCAGTGATGGTGCAAGAACACAGGTGAGGGCAATTCTTGGCCCAGATGCTCTTTAGCTAAAACCAAGCCCAGTTCAACAGCTTTGCTGTCTTTCCTTCTGTGGAGTTTAGTAATGCTTGGATCTGAGGTGACTTTGAGATGCTCTTGGTTGTTCATCCAGTACATCTGCTGGAGTTGTGCCTGCAGACTCTGGGGGTAGGTTTTGGCATGGCTTAACAGGACCTTTCTTTTCCACCTATAAGTAATTGTAGCTGGATCTGCAGGTCATCCAGATGTCCCAATAGCTTATTCACCGACATGGATGCTTGGGTGTTTCCTGCCTGCAACTGCATCAGGCATCCCCAACTGTAAATCTGGCAGCTGGACCTGACTAATAAATAACTGTCCCACAAGTAATTGCAGGTCTGAACCTGTGTCTGATAGCTGAGCTGAGGAGACCACTGAGATTTATTGCAGATGAGAGCCAGGACGGTGTGGTGGATGCGGCGTGGTGTGACAGGATGTGTGTAAGGGATGGGAGCGCTGGTACAGGGGTGATTCCTGTGGCTTGTGGCTCAGGGATGTGGTCAGGGTTACCAGGGGACCTTACACAATGGGTCCGTGTAACGGGGCTGCTGCTATGTGACTCATACCAGGAAAGAAGGTAAATCATTTGACTGGTTTTGCTGAGGGGTGCAAATGTGTTTTGGAGGAAGCTTGTGTTGTTTATTTTTAAGCTGTATTTTAGGGTGGGAAGGGCTGACCCTTTGGGGGACGTACCACCTTCAAAGTGTGAATTGAAGATGTCTGGAGGAGAGGTGATCAAACTGTATGTGTTCTCAAAGGCTAATTATTGGCAGGTTGCAGGGGATAAAATATTACTTTTACTTAAGTCATAAATCCTGGTGTAAATCTGGAAACACTGACCCATAAAATGCATATTTTAATAAACTCAGTGTGTGCTGGATGTGTTTTTTTTACCAACTGTGGAGTCTGATCCTGGTATCCCAGTGGATGGGAACAGGTCAGGTTTATTCTCTTGGCATCAGGACTCTGACCTGGTGCTGGATGTCTCAGCCACGCATACTTATTTCATTGGATGCTGGATTTCTGACCTCTCTAAAGCCACAGGCTGTTTGTCCCACTGGTGTAAAGCATGAAGGCTGGCTGCCCTGGCTGGGGGGATCTGAAGGAGGAGAGTTTCTGGTTAATGCTATCCCTGTTGGGTGTGATGCTTTTATTTATTTCCTTTCACCTTCCCTGCCTCCTCCTCCTGGCTCTTCTTTGTCCCAGGGCAGCACATGTGGCAGGGCTGGGTGTCCCCTAGGGTTGCTGCCACAACCACGTGCACAGAAGATCAAGTCTTGTGCTATAGGGTGCTTGGGGGAGTGGCTCCTGTGGTTCCCGTGTTGCTTTTGAAGGCAGCTGCAGGCAGGGAGCAAAAGGAGAGGTGGAAGGGGGACACATGCTGTTGTCAGTGTTCCTGGTCTGTGAGCTGTCCCCAGTGCCTGGGTCTGTGGCATGGGGACAAGAGCAGGGTGACACATCCCTTGCTGCCAGCATCCCCAGCCAAAGTTGCAGAAGTTCCCCATTTCTTCTTTTGAACTCCCTGCTGTGTCCAGGTTTTCAGTGAGATCAGAACAAGTGGAATTCAGGGCTTTAAAGAAAAAAAAAAAAAAGGTAAACCTTTGATAGTGAAGGGACTCTGGGTGCTGGTGCTTTCAGATCAGCCCCGCATGTGTCAGGGACAGATCCACCCTCAGCCACTGCAAGTGGCTGGGTGCTAGAGGAAGGGCATAAAAATTAACCTCTTCCTTATTGCTTTGGGGATATTTTTTTTTTTTTTTTGCTAACTGGTTATTAGAATGGCTTTGTGAACAAGATATGAGGGCAGAAGCTGGTGAAAGATGCATTTCATCATCACCTTCAAACTCTGCAGCTCTCTTTGCTCAGAGTCCAGAGCAGCACATTTGACCTCCTGCTCCTTGAGCACAAGAAGAAGTAACTGTATGGGAAGGCGTTAAAATGTGGCTACTTCTGCAAATTTTCCATTGTAGCAGTAGCTGTGGCACATCCTGTGAAGCAGGGAAATAGTCCCTAGCTGTGTTTTTCCTCAGGTCAGAGGGCTAGGAGGGGAGCAGCTGAGCGTCTGTTGGCTGTGCCTTTCCTGGGGTGGGCAGTGACCTTTCCCCATGGTTTGCTGAGGTCTCAGGAGCTCCTGGACCCAGAGCTGCTCGGAGTGGCTGTGATCTCCAGCCAGGCTCTGCCCTGGGAGATGTCTGGGGTGCCACAGAGGAGGTGGCGGGGGAGAAGGGGACGCATGGATAGGGAAATGGAGCATCCCTGAGCAGCATATTTGTCTCCTCCCCCTTAATCCCCCAGAAACAAAGCTGGCTGCTATTAACTCCTCTGAAGTGCACCTTGCTGCTCAGGGCATCAAGGATGCTCAGGGGATGGGCGTGGTGTAGTGATGAGGCACATACACATGTATGTGCATCCTCCCCGTGCACCGCAGAGGCCCCTCTGCTCCTGCCAGGTCCTGCCCAGGCACCTCACCTGCTCCTCTGCTTGGGCAGGAGCGCAGACAGCTCCACTCGTGCTGGCTTTGCCTTGCAGCTCAGCACGTATATTAAAAGCACGAGTGCTCCGGAGGCAGCGCTGGAGGCTCCCAGGGGAGGGATGTTTGCCAGCCACCCCGGCTAGCCTGTGTTAGGCAACAGACAAGTGCCTTCGGGGGACACCAGGCTCGTAAGTGGGCAGCAGTGGTTCTTGGCAGCAGCTTCGCTGCCCTGGGGAGGTGGCTTGCCTGGGTGTGAGTGACTGTCCCTGTGCAGCATGGGTATACTCTTTGTGCATGTTGGTAGAGGTGTACGAGGCATTGCCTTCCCCTAAGCAGAGCCTTGGCGGTGGGCTGCATTGTGTGAGAGCATGAACCCTAACCCTAACCCTCCAGGAGCGGTGGGCTGCATTGTGTGAGAGCATGAGTGTGTTGTCTCCAGGAACCTGCCTCACCAGTGCATTGCGGGTATGGAGGGCATACTGTGCCACAGGGCGAGCAGGCAGGGCAGCCAGGGTGGGAATATGGGGTCTGGGTAGGGCTGGGCTATGCCTGTGTGCCTTTGTGCCCGTGCATGTGCAAGTCAGTGTTTCTGTGAGGTACTTTTGCATGGTCCGGTCTATACCAGGGTGCAGTGGGTCTAGTCTTGTGCTCAGCCTTGGTGCCTTTGCCTCCGGGGTGGTGCTGAGGTGTGGGGGACTGTGTTTGGCCACTGCATGTGCAGGAAATATGAGGCAGAACCAGGCAGGTTTAGCCTGGTCTCTCTTTTCAGGGGGCAATAAGTTTAGGATGGGCTGTGCCTTTCCCAGGGACCTTTCCTTTCTTTCCTGCAGTTGCTTCAGCTTTCGAAGACGTGGGCTTCTGCCCAAGGAGGTGTTGGGCTGTGGGTGCTGAGAGCACTGCAGGACAGTGAAGACTGCCTGTGATGCTGGGACCAGGCAAGCCCCATGAGCATCTCACTCTTTAGATAAACTCTGGTGAAACCGCAGACTTAACAGCTCCACGGCAGCCTCCATATATAAATGTTGGGTTTTCTCTGCTGCTCTCTGAAAGCAGATGGTAGCTCCTGCCAGCAGGAACCTTAGCAAGGTTCTTTTTAAACAGCAAACCTTAATTTCCAATGCAGGGGAGATTTCTTTGGTGATGAGAGATGGGGCTTGCTGGGCAGGTTGCAGAGCAGTGGGGATGGAGGGCGGTTGCTTGGGTGCAAACACCCTTGTACACACAAAATGAACCCTGTGCTGCTGCATGACAGCATCTCCCTGCCGGGGCTGGCATTTTGCTAACATCCCTCATGAGTCTGTTTTCTTGTCCTTGGGCAGGCAGCGGTGCTGA